GATGTGGGACTCGATCCCGGGACTCCAGGATCATGACCTGAGCCGAAGGCAGTCGCTTAACCGACTGAGCCACCCAGGCGCCCAAAATATAATAATTTTTAAATGAAAAAAAAATTAAACATTTCCTCTCACGGGTTTTCTCCGTGCCCCCTCAACCAATTTTGCCCCCCGACCCTGGGCCACTCTTTCCCTATGTTCCTCCCACGCAGACACCAACGCTTCACCATCTTTCCCTCACCACCTCTGCTCCTCTGTAATCCGCAGCCGTCCCAGGCCTGGCACCGCCTCCACCTCCTGGAAAGGTATGCAGGGTACCAGGCTGTCACCTGGGCTTGCTCATGGTCTCTGTCCGCTGGGGAGACCCACAGGCCCTCCTTGGCCCTGGGAACTCTCATGCTGGGAGTCTGCCTGTCCTGGTCTCCTGGTCTGTGGACTAACCCTGTGACGCAGAGGTTAGAAGAAGGTCCAAGAAGGCATCTGTCCGTCTCCCGAACGACATCCCTTCTGCATTCTGCTCGGGGAAGGTTCAAATTCTCACCCACAGAAAGGAGGAACAACCCTACAAGCCCACATGCCTACAAGCCACTCTGGGCCACACAATGCGGCAGGTCCCTGGATTCCCTGCCCCCTAAGTTATTCCTGATGTTTAGCCCCAGAGGCCTCCAACTCTGACGTGCATAAAGGTCACCTGGGGAGCCGCTCACAAGAATGCAGTTTTGGGGGTTCCATCATCAGAGACTGTGGTTCTGTATGTGGGGTCTGAGAACCTGCATTTTTAATGGGAGCCGAGGGCACTCTGATGAAGATGGAGTGTAGATCTGAATTTCAGAAACCAGCCTATTGCCCTCTGGACACAAGTCAAATTCCTTAGTAGAGATGGAGAACACCAAGTAAAACGGATGAAGACTCCTAGTATCTCTCTTCTCTGGGCGAAGTTCCCAGAACAGACTTTGCCTCAGGAGCGAACACATGGCCATTCCCAAATGGGACCAGCAGGCTCCCTGGGGGAAGGGCCCTGCCTGCTGCTGGCCCTCGGTACTCAGACCAACAACACCCACCTGGTATGATGCGAGCTGCCTGGGGTCATCGTGGCCTCAAAGGGACTTGCATCTTTGGGTCCCAGAAAAGAAACTTCAGGAAAGGACTTAAATTGATGGTGGAAGGGACGAAACTTCCTGAAACACAGACAACTTCCATTTTGAATACCGTGGGGGGCCAGGGAGAGAGGAAGGGAGGCCTGCCCAACCCCCCAGAATCCCAGTCCTGATAAAGTGGCCTCTCCCCCACACAACTCTTCAGTTCTAAAACCAAACCTTCCCCAGCCTTCCTGGTGAGACTGATACGCTCTCCTGGCTACTCATCAAGCCCATTTACCCTCCCTGCCTCGTCTGAGCAAGCGGAACATGTGGTATTAGCCCACTTGACAGAAGAGGAAACGAAGCCCAAAATGTTCTGTGACTTGCCCAAGGGCTCACAACTGGTAAGTGGTCGAGACCAGGCAACAAGCCAAATCTCCCGACTCCTGATCCATCTTTCCACTTTGCTTCCTGACCCTGACCACCTCTGAGGACTCTAGCCTGGCAGACCTAAATGGAGGAATGTTTAGACAAGAACAGTGACTTTCCTATTCTGCGAAGAGGAACGTCTTTGCTCTGGACTGCTCCTCGGTACCACCCGAGGGGAGGTATTCTGAATGGAAGAGAGCAGCACAGTGAAGGTTCTGCATAGTCAGACCTATACTGAATGGTTCTGGTGGCTTGCCTCAAGTTGCTCATATTCAAGAGACTTCCAGAGCCAGGCGTGGTGACCTGGGGACCCCGAGCAAAGCCTGCTGCTGTAGCCGGGAGGCATGCCATGTTTGGCTGCAGCAGCCCGTGCTCAAGGGGGGGAGTGAGGGCCACGAGTCTCTGGGGGCATGGCGGGGGGGCACGGTGAGAGCCCTGTGGCCTCGGGGTGGATTAATACATGCTTCTTGGGCCCTTAAGGAGAGGGAGGTGCCCTTCACAGCCCCGGTACCTCACTTTCTTCTCTTCAGTGGTCTGTTTCTGCCCAGAAGACTGCACAGTTGAGGTTGGTAAGGTTATGGGGCTTCAAGAGAGCACGTAAACAGAAGCATAAGAAAGCTCGCCTCCACTCTTGCCTATGCTGCCAGGGGCGCCCCAACATGTGTCCGCCCCCCCATAAGTGACGTGTGCCGGCCACATGCAGTGCGACACTGGGGCACTGGCGTGTGTATGAGCCATGACCACTGTGTTTAACTGGTAGTGAAGGGCTAGGGTAGAGGACACGCACCCCCTCATCCCACTGGAACTGGAGAATAGAGTACCTATTATCTCCCTGCGTCCCCTCCACTCATTTCTGGGCCACCAAAGCCAACTCTCTCCTGTGTTCAGGCGCCAAGAAGGAAACCTAGGTCCACCTGGAGGATAGGCAGGCATGCCAGGCTTCCGGCACTGGGCCTTTCAGCTGCCCTGCCTGAGGCTAAAGGACCCAGAAAGCTCTGGTCCCAGGAGTCTCTGCTGGGTTCACATGGGCTTTTTCTTTAAAAACAAAACAAAACCCAAACCCAAAACCAGCTTTTAATTTTGAGGTCATTACAGATTCACAGGTGTTTGAACTAGTACTTATTGAAGAGTCAGTGATAACCAAGGTGACTGACAGCTCATAGGTTATCACCCATGTGCCCCTCCTGCTCTAGAAAGAAGGGGCCCTACTGGGGGACAGACAGGCCAGAGTGGGGAGGACACCAGGCAGGACAGGAGGACACCTGGATTCTGGCCTTGGGCTGAGCTTCGTCGGCAACATGGCTGTATACAAGTCCCTTAATTTCTCTGACCTCAGTTTCCCCACTAGGAAAAGGATGGGCTCTCCTCATGCCAGTCTTTCCCAGGCCCTCACGAGATAACATGTGTCAGAAAAGCGTTTTGCATAGCCAAACAGAAAGGCTTCCGGTACAAGATGGTTGGACAAGGGAACCGCCAACACCAGCCCGAGCACCCTGGCTTCAGCCAAGATGACGGTACTAGCGCCGTCCGGGGCCAGCACAGACTCGGTAGTGAGGGTCAGTGTGCGCCCAGGGGGAAAGGACGAGCGATGAGCCTGGGTGGGACATGGGCGCTCTGAAAAGCAGAGCACTAAAAAGAGGTAATGCACACACAGGGTCACTAACCTCTGACTCATGACCAAGAGGAGGGCCAACTGTGCAATGCCACCTTCAGAGGCTCCTCCTGGTCTGTGGGAGACTTCTCCATGACAAGGGGAGAGAGCGGCTTCTGGGGAAGACGAAGGTGGAGGGCTGAGGGGCTCCATGACCCTCACATCAGCTTGGGGCCCCTGAGTGCCTGTCCTCCGTGCAGGCCTGGCGGGGCTTAGGGGAGAGAGAGGGGGGCCCCCCACCACTCACCTGCTCTCATCTTCGATTTTGAGGAACGGTGCCTTCAGCCTGGCCACTGGAAAGGAAACGCGCACACATGAGCCATCTGTCGGCTCCGGTGCAGGGCCCGCACCACACGCACAGGAAACGCTCAGAGAGGCGAGGCTCTGCCAAGGTCTAAGAGCCACGCAGAACCAGAGCCCACGCCACCCCAAGTGCGCCTTTCCATTTGGCTGAGGTCAGGCACCCACCCCCATCTCCTCTGGCCTCTACCCAGGGTGAGAGAGGGAGGTCCCCTACTGGGGAGAGGCCACAGGGTGCCGTCCACCCCACAACAGGACACAGGACCCTGCCGTGTGTGGGTTCTGGAGGCTGTCAGTCGAGGGTTAGAAACCTGCCCCCAGGGCAGAACTCAGCCCCAGCTCGTTTCTGCTAAATGCCTTAGGTCCTTCCCTGACCTTCCCTCCTGCTGTCTCAGAATCCCGAGGGGCCTGAGAACACTCCCAGGCGGAACACTCCAGGAGGCTCCTGGGTTTTTTGCGGGAAAGCAGGGAGGAAGAGAGCTGAAGAGTGTTTACGGATCATAGCAGGAGGGCAGTTAAAAAAAATATCAAAGGTGAAATCTGGATCCTGGATAACAGGGCAAAGGGCTGCTGGGAAGACGAATTTGCTCAGTTAATCAAGAAATTCATCCTCTATGAGCTGGTTATTCACACAGTTTGCAAAATCTCTTAGGTATTAAGAACCATTTCTACTTCCCACAGAAGGCCTGTCAGAAGGGCAGCCAAGGCAGGCTGGGAGCCTGGGCGGCCCCAGCAGCCCCTGGACATCCCCCCCCAACCACCCCGCCCCCGGAGGCTTGCGCCTCCCCGCTCAGACCCGCTCACGGCTCCGCCAGCGCCCAAGCAAAAAGCAGCCTCACTCCTCGCAAGGCATCAGCCCCCATTAATTACTTTTTGGGGGCGATTTCTTGTCTTTCTAATTAACTGAGACAGTGATTAAAACCAATTCCCCCACAGATTTCCTTGAATTTTGAACACGAGAGGTGCCAAGTGACTTTTCTTAGCTCCTGCTTGTGCAAGAATAAATGCCACTTAAAGAGCGTCTTTGGGAGAAACATCCAGGGGGAGAAACTCTCTTGCGGTCCAAGAGGGGCCGGGAGCCGGGCTGTCAATCTGCCGGTTTGTCAGTTTCGGGGAGTCTGGCATTTGGGAGAGTGGTAGGCAGCTGTCACACTGCCCACCCCAAACTGCTCCTGAATCAGAGGAAAAGGAAGGCGAACTTCACTCAGTGCCCAGGAAGTGGCAGCGGCCGCATGGGCTCTTGGCACAAAGGAAAAGCTCCAGCCGGGCAGCTCTGGGCTTGCTCACGGATACCCTCCTCCCGCCCTCTCGTCCCCAAAGCTCAGGCCCTGCAAACACAACAGGGCAACACAACCTGGACTCGCTTCCTGCCGCAGAAAAGCGAGCAGATGCTGCCACAGAGGGAGCCATGGGGAAGCGTTTAGGAGGGAGGGACTGCAATTAGATGAACAGAGCTACCACACTGACCTTTCCGCGTTCTTGACTCTGCTGGACACGTTCCCTAAATGGAAAGGGAAAATAGGTTAAGGATGCGAGGGAGCTAGAGGGTCGAGGAAGCGGGCCTGGGGAGGGGAGTCGCTGAGTCTGCCCCACTTTGCTTCCTGCGGTCGGCTGGGCCCTGAGCAAGGGCAGACCCGACACAATGGCTCCCTCTGCCTCCCCAGGGACATGATGGGTGGTGAGCCCTGTGCGCACATCTCAGTGGCGGCTGACTTTGTGGAGGGAACGCAGGGCACAGCGAAGAGCAAGAGCTCCAGGGCCCCCAGGCCTGGGTGCAGGCTGGCGCTGTGCCGCCCGGGGTTTTAAGTGGCACCCACCCGCCTCGCCGACGTGGCCACGATGTACAGACAAATGCAAAGGGAGGAGGTAACAGACCTGACGCAGAGCAGGTGCCCAGGCACCTTGCATGTTCTAGGCACTGCTGCCGTTTCAGGTCAGCTTACAGGACAAGCGTGAAGAGCACGCCTCTCGCTTTCCTGTGCGCTGTGTTGTGTGTACTTGGACCCCGTTGGTCAAAACCAATGTTTAGGTCAAGGTCAAACAAAGCTAGTATTACAAACTAAATGGAAAAAAATAAGAAATCAGGTAGAGTTCGGGGAAGGGGCGTGGCAGAGATCCAGGGGGTCCATGACTATTTGTACCCCTGGGCCCACAGAGGTTCTGGATTCTCCTCCAGGCCACACCTCCAGGGCCAGCATGACCCAAAGAAGCTTTCCCTATCTCCTTGCATATCAGCAGACTGCACCCAGAACTCACTCTGGAAGACCCCTAAGTATCTACAAAATAGATTAAGTGAACAAAGCAAAGTAAAAATACCGTGCATTTGCGTAAAAGGGAGGAACTTCTGACCCATCTGCTCATGTAAGCATGGACCCTGGGAGGACACCTGAGAAACTGTTCATACTGCTTATCTCAGGGAGGGAGCTTGGTGGCTGGGGAAGAGAAGTTGCAGGGGAGAGAGACTTTCATTGTACAGCCTTTTGAATGGTGAACAATGCAAATCTAGTTAGCAGCACAGCAGAACCCCAAAGACTCCCAGAGCAGAGGGTGCGGAGCAAGAGGGCGCTGAAGCAGGGGGCTCCATCCGGTAGAGTGGTTTGCTCCCATGGTTGGTCCTGCTCCTGGGTGCCAGGCCCTCAGTGGACCTGGAAGGCTTAATCCTTCCTTAGATTCAGGCTGGGTGAAGACACCGTGGCTTGAAAAATCAGCCTGGGCTCTCTTGATGTGTGGTACACACAGTTCTAACTCCAGCAAAGGAAGGAAAAGCCAAATAAGAATTTGGAAGGTGACAGCTCTTTTAAACCGCAACATCCCCTGCCCCCACCGATGCAATCTGCAGGCTCATTCCTGGGCCAAGAGCTGTCCCAGAACGGCAGCCTGGCCAGCAGGCTGTGAACACTGCTGTTTTATCTAGGCCAGGACTACCCACAGGCAGTCCACAGCCCAGGCCACGGTGCATGCCTCAGTGGACCATGGGAGATTTGCAGGTAGCACAGGAGGAGAGGACAGGGCAATGAGAGGCTGTGGACATCAGGGCCATGCTGACGACGGAGAGGCTGCACTCCTTGTACTTTTTCTAGGATGGACGAGAAGATATGGCTCGCCCGGGTAGGGGATTTACTGAAGTTGTCACAGACTTCACCACTGCAGACTGTCCATTTCCCTTCAGTTCAGCAGGACGACCCACCTCTGGCTTCTTCTTTGGCCCTTGTTTCTTCACACACAAAGCATCAAGAGACAGCTGCTGCACGTGCATCAGCATCTCTGTGGAGGAAACAGAGGGCTGTGGCCAAAGGCTCCCACCCCTCCTCTCCCCAGCACGGCCCCTTCCTGGGGCTGGGGGCTCAACTTCTCGCGGGCCTGGCCCACTGGATCACACCAGGCTCGCCTGCCACCTTCAGGCTATGTGTCACCTCTGCACCTGCTGATAATAAAGAAAGGGCTGGGTCCTCTATCCTTGGAGAAGTACCTAAGCTGGCTTCACGCTATTTTGTGGCACTGAGTACAACTCTCAAACAGGAGCTGCCTTACGGCTCACAAGGGCTTTATGGTACCACTGAAGAGCTGCTCCCGAGGGGGGACACCAGCCATGTGATTTACTCAGACGAAGCCGTAGATGCAAGGTCCAGCAGGAGCTTCCCTAATACACAGGAAGGCAGGAAATTAGACCGTATCAGAAATGGCTGATTTTCCAGTGATGACGGAGCCTCCCACATCCCAGACCAGGACCTTCCTGAGCACAGTTCTCAAATGCCCTGGCAGATCTCGGGCTGGATCTGGATCAGCCCCCTACAATGTTATTAGGAGAAAACCCTAGACTCAGAGTGGAGCTGGGTATGAGGGCCAGTTACCGCCGCCAATTCAGGACAGCTATTCTAATGTAAATTTATGACAACCTGCAAATAGGTGGTTACAGTGTGAGACAACCCTACATAAAAGAAAGAACATGAAAAAAAAATTTTTTTTAAAGATTTTATTTTTGGGGCACCTGGCTGGCTTGGTCAGTGGAGCATGTGACTCTTGATCTTGGAGTTGTAAGTTCAAGCCCCACACTGGGTGCAGAGATTTCTTAAAACAAAATCTTTTATTATTTTTTATTTTATTTTATTTTTTTAAAGATTTTATTTATTTATTTGAGAGAGAGAGAGAGAGCATGAGAAGGGGCAACGGCAGAGGGAGAGGGAGAAACAGGCTCCCTGTTGAGCAGGGAGCCCAAAGAGGGCCTCGATCCCAGGACCCTGAGATCACGACCTGAGCCGAAGGCAGACGCCTAACCGACTGAGCCACCCAGGCGCCCCTATTTTTATTTACTTTTTTTTAAAGATTTTATTTTAGGAGTGCCTGGGTGGCTCAGCCGTTAAGCATCTGCCTTCGGCTCAGGTCATGATCCCAGAGTCCTGGGATCGAGCCCCACATCAGGCTCCCTGCCCAGTGGGGAAGTCTGCCTCTCCTTCTCCATCTGCCTCTCTCCCCCGCTCATGCTCTCTCTTACTCTCTCTCAAATAAATAAAATCTTTAAATAATAATAATAATAAAAAGAAAAAGAAAAAAGATTTGGGGCACCTGGGTGGATTTCCGTGCTTGTGAAACGATCACGTAGCGCAGATAGATAAAGCCGCGCCTCCCAGTATCCGCGCCCTGCTGTCACCACTGCTGGTCCACACCCCCCACCTTTGTGGGTCAACACAGTGAGTGAGCGCCTTTGGTTTTCAGCTAGGTTACACTGGCTGACGTCCCTCTAAGAGCGGATGCTCCCAGTCAGTCGCCAAGTCCCCCCCCGCACAGAAGCCCTGGGCAGAAACGGTACCGTCCACGTGCAGGATCCTCACTCCCCAGGCGCGGGCGCTGGTCAGGAGACTGCTGCTTCTCCCGCCACCTCCCCTGCTGCCGCTCTCCTGGAAAAATGACGTAGTCAGGCAGGAGCGAGAGACCCCCCCCAAAGCCTGACAGGCTCCGGGTCACCCCACAAAGAGACGTCATGGAAGGGTCTACCCCAGGCCCCCCCGAAGACTCTGTTCTCGCCGGAGGGGAAGACCGTTGCTTCAGCCACTTACGATCAGGAGGCAACAGAGGCTTCTCAGAGAGCCGTCTGTCAGGAGGGCCTCTGTGAGCCAAGCTCTCAGCACACAGCAAGTGCCCAACAGACAGCAGTGACAGTTGTCATCCTCAAGCAGGAAGCCGTGCCTGCCTCAGGCTGTCCCTGCCCCACCGCCGCAGGGCAGCAACACCACCTTCCCACACTGCAGCCATGTCACTTGACCCGCTTCTCTCACAAGATCACCTTAACTCCTCCTCCCGCTACTTAACTTTAATGGCTCTGGATCTCGCAGCTACTTAAAAAAGATGTGCGAAGTCTGGCTTATGTGCAGCACAGACACGTCCCCCAGCATCCCTCCAAGGTGCTCTTGCTAGCTCTGGAGATGGAAGGATCGGGAAGTCAAATCCAGGCTCTACCACTGCCACCCTGGGGGAACTCTGGACAAATTGCTTCACTTCTCTGAGCTCTACTTCCTCATTTTGTAAGGAAATAAGGACGATCCCTCTCACAGTTATGCATTTTGTGGCAGAACTCCAGAAGACCCTCGGGAGAAAGGTTACGTCCTCCCCCCCCGCCCATGCCAGAGGGGCCCGCCTCCCTCGGCTCACCTGGTTTCTGATGGCCTTCTGCAGTAGCTCCTTGCCTCTGCTCCTAGGCACCTGTTAGGAAGAGAAGAACCCTGAGGTGCGCTCTGCAGCCTACCTGTGCACCGTAAGTTCCACACAGGCACCGGTGAGGTCTTGGAGTCCTGTCTCTCGGAGCGCTGGGAGCAGTGACAGCTGAGGAGCAGCAGAATGAGAGCCTAGAGAACTTTTTGGAGTAAAGGTAAAGCCACACACAATTCCGGGTCGCCCACCGGCAGCTGCAGCTTGGACCCGGGTGGAGAAGCGCGTTCTGAATTTACCCAAGGTCAAAGTGTCGCCAGTGTTCTAAGATCTCTGAGTCTCCACACCCCCAGCAGAGAAGCCTGGGCCAATTTCAACAAGTCGTCCCTGGTTTACAGAGGACCTTCCTATTGTTTTTGAACCTCTGACACGGAAGCCCCATAAAAAGCGAACTGTATCACAGAAGGGATAGCATGAGGGTAACAAGCTGCTGAGGTTTTTAGAGCCAGAGCAATGATAAAATATCTTCAGTCCCTGAATTCAAATGAGAGATTAAATTAAACCAGATGAAACTAAAGCCGGAGACCGCCCACAAGGGCTGAGGCTTCCTTCCTTTGTTCAGAGAACACACCTTTCCTACCCAATGAGGCTCTTACCGAGTCTGCAGGCTTCTGCGAAGGCCTGGTGTGGCCGCCCTTCGGATGGGCCACGGACGGCGTCTGTCCTCTGACCTCGCTGGGGCTGGGGCAGCCTCTGGGGCTTGTCCCCCTGCTCTCTGCTTTCGCCTCCCTGCGGCTGGACACGATGTAACTTACTTCTTTGCTCAGAAAACCCTCAATTACCTGAAACCAGATCACAGAGGTGGCTGAAAACCAAAATGCAGATGTAGAATCATCAATTTTGAGAGGTTGGGGAAGGAAATTTTGGCTGCCAGAAGTTTCAGAATCAATGTCTTTAAATAGACCAAATGCAGTTCTGTACCGAGCCCCTAAGAAGACATCATCCTGAAACACTATAATAGAGTTTATATATATATATATGTATATATAAAATACAGGTTTTTGTCTCCAGAACTGCTGCTCCTGACCCAGCATCAGAAGGCCACAGGCTTTGTTATGTGACCATTTTGAGTCTGCACAGAGCAAGAGCACACTGACGGCGCCTGACAGGATTAGGAGTAGCTTAGTTAGGGGCGCCTGGGTGGCTCAGTCGGTTAAGCTCAAGTCATGATCCCAGGGTCCTAGGATCGAGTCTCACATCGGGCTCCCTGCTCAGCGGGGAGCCTGCTTCTACATCTCCCACTCCCCCTGCTTGTACCCTCTCTCTTAAATAAATAAAATCTAAAAAAAAAAAAAAAAAAAAAAAATTGCACCTGGGTGGCTCAGTCAGTTAAGTGTCTGCCTTTGGCTCAGGTCATGATCCCAGGATCCTGGGATTGAGTCCCACATCGGGCTCCCTGCTCAGCGGGGAGTCTGCTTCTCTCTCTACCCCTCCTCCCTGCTCCTGATCTCTCAGATATATAAATAAAATCTTTAAAAAAAATTAAAAAGAGGGCGCCTGGATGGCTCAGTCGTTAAACATCTGCCTTCAGCTCAGGTTATGATCCCAGGGTCCTGGCATCAAGCCCCACATCGGGCTCCTTGCTCAGCGGGAAGCCTGCTTCTCCCTCTCCCACTCCCCCTGCTTGTGTTCCCTCCTCTCTTGCTGTGTCTCTCTCTGTCAAATAAATAAATAAAATCTTAAAAAAAATAAAAATTTTAAAATTTTAAAAAAATTAGAAAGAACAGCTTAGTTAGGCTATGGCTTTCCTGTGAAGACACACTGGGGCATTCAGACACTGCACCTGCGATCTTGACCACCCTCCAAAAGGAGCAAAAATATGAAACAAGAAAAGGTCTGGCCACTACTCAGCTGCACAGGTGTCTGCTCATCCTATCTGTAAGCTCCTCACAGGCACTGAGAGGGTCTGACTCATCTTTGTATCCCAAGGGCCCAACGTGGTGCCTGAGACACAAGGGTATTTAAGTCATGTGTGTGGGGAGTAGAAAAGAGGGACGTAAGCAGGGGTGAGGTGGTGGATGTTTCATGATCCACTCTGTAGGGAAAAAGCCCTGCTTTGTAGCATGTGCTGATTTCTGGGGGGTAAACGCTCCCACTGTGGCTGATTTCAAGCTACCGACATGATGTTACTGAATGTGGAACTGGAAGGAGATGTTAACAGTTAGCTCTACCTCCAGCACACCACTAAAAATAAGGCTCGATGATGGCCCTCTCGAAAGGGTGACTGGATGGGAAACTTGGCACTGAACTTAAGGAAACAACAACAACAACAACAAATGTTTAGGTTCCTCAAAAGGCTCAACAGGGTCTACCACACCACCTGGCAATTCTGCTTCTAGGTATGCACCCCCAAGGAACTGGAAGCAGGGACTTGACCAGATGCTTGTACACCCATGTTCAGTGCAGCATTATTTATAACAGCCAAAAAGCGGAAATAACCCAGGCGGCCGACAGATGAATGGTGATGTATACATTCAGTGAAACACGGTTCAGCCAGGACAGGAAGTTCTGACACAGGCTACAACATGGATGAGCCTAGGAAAGATTATGCTAAGTGAGATAAGCCACACCCAAAAGAACGATTATTCGAGATTCCACTGATAGGAGGCCTCTTGAATAGGCAAGTTCTGAGAGACAGAAAGTAGCTGTGAGTGGCAGGGGCTGCAGAAAAAGGGAAGTGGGAAGTTCTTGGTTACTGGTTACAGACGGTCCGTGTGGGGTGATAAAAATTGGGGAAATGGTGGTGAAGGTTGCCCAGGCACGTGCATGTAATTTACGCTGAGAACCGTACACTTGCCAATGATTAAAATGGCCCACTTTATGCTATATACATTTTACCACAATTAAAAAGAACCTTTAAAGGTATGGCTTGAATGAGTGAATCCACCTTCTGTAACACGGCCAAAACAGACATTAGAGGGTGGGAGGAGGGCAAGGATTTTCCTGTATAAATGCGGTTGATGGTTTCACGGCTACACAGCCCTCCCACCCCAGTATACCTACTCCCATCAGGAGGCAGAGCCCACTTTTTCATCGCCTTGAATCGGACTCCTTTTGAACAATAGTGAAAGATGTTGTAGAGCCTAAGCCTCAAGAGGCCTTGTAATTTCTCCTTTCACCTTGGAAAGCTACATGAGACCGCCGTGTAGACAGGCTGGTTCAGCTTCTTGTATTTACATATGATATTATACATTCCTACAACATATGTAAGAAGCTTCTCAAACGACACATGAGAAGCCATATAGAGGCAGCCAGCAGCAACTATCAGATGTCTAAGTGAGGCCAACTTTGGTCCTTCCAGCCCAGCTGACCCTCCACCCAAATGCAGCTGCAGGAGTGAGTCCCGATGACACCAGCAGAGAAACCGCCCAGCCAATCCACAGTGTCGTGAGAAATAAAAATTTTTTCTATCATGTCCATGGCTATTAAGGAAACCAGTTTTGTTTTGTTTAAGACTGTATTTATTTATTTGAGAGAGAGAGAGAGAGAGAGCGCTTTCACGCAAGCAGGTGGTGGGAGGGCAGGGGCAGAGGGAGAGAGAGAGAATCTTAAGCAGGCTCCATGCCCAGCATGGAGCACAACACAAGGCTTGAGCTCAGTTGTGAGATCGAGCCCCGTGTCAGGTTCCCCACTCAGCTGCGAGTCAGCTTCTCTCCCTCTCCTTCTGCCCCTCCCCTGGCTCATGCTCATGCATGTGTGCTCTCGCTCTAAAATAAATGAATCTTAAAAAAAAGAGAGAGAGAGAGAGAGTTGGATGCTCGACCAACTAAGCCACCCAGGTGCCTCAATAACTTGTTTTATGCTCCAGTTCTAGGGTGGTTTTTTACCCAGTAAAGGCTAAATGATAGAACAGACTAAAAGTTCAAAAGGTAATTTGGGGCCAGTTTGGGTGTATAATCATCATTTGGTACATTCTCCACTGCTGAGTTTCCATATCCCTGAGCTTCTGTTCCTTTGACAATCCTCTGCAGTCCAAGCTTATTCAAGTCATTCCCCAGCTGCCCGCCTCTTTGGGGCCAAGCACTAACATCCTATTTTCTAAACACCGCTTACTAAGAGCACTACAGGACACCCATGCCTTACAAATATTTTAAAGGACTCAAACACGGCAAATGCTTTTTACCCAAAGTTTTTTTTACCAGTGTTATTTGAAAGAGCTAAAATTTAGAAATAATCTCAATGTCCATAGGGTAACAATTAAGTAAACTAATAATCCACTCAAAAATATTATATTCTCATTACAAATAATGTACATAAGGGACAATAAAGATAGAAAAGTGCTAATGCTTTAAGATTGTGGGCAAAAAGCTGGTAATCAAACATGTGTTCACGATCATAGCTACACAGAAAATGAGCATAAAAAATAAAGGAATGGGGCACCTGGGGAGCTCTGTTGGTTCAGCGTCTGACTCTTCATTTCACCTCAGGTCATGAGCTCAGTGTTGGGAGATAGAGCCCGGTGTGGGGCTCTGCACTGGGCATGGGGTCTGCTTAAGATTCTCTCTTTCCCTCACCCTCTCACCCTCTCACTCACCCCATTCTAAAAAAATAAAAAATAAAAAAATAAAAATAAAATTTTAAAAAGGGAAAAAGAATAGAGACAGAAGTAGATGAATGTTTACCCAGGTTGGGGGTGTTGAGGAAAAATTGGGAGTGACTGACAATGGGCTTCTTTTCTGGGGTGATGAAAATGTTCTAAAATTGACTGTGTATTCACATAGCTTACATATCTCTGTGAATACACTAAAAGCCATTAAAAAAAACCCTTTTTATTGGGGCGCCTGGGTGGCTCAGCCGTTTAGCGTCTGCCTTCGGCTCAGGTCATGGTCCCAGGGTCCTGGGATCG